AAGTTATGAGTTTAGCATGTAGAAAGCAGACACGAAGAGGAGGCCAATCAAGACGAGCCAAAACAACATCAACACTATCAGTATCATGATAGTTTTTGGATACCCATAGACTATCATTTAGATCTATATATAGCTATCGATATAATTTTTAGTAGGGTTTAACGCGGAGGTGACACATCATAAACCCCTACAGAGAGAGAAAGCGAAACGAAGCGAAGCGGTTAGAGAGTAAACCGCAACACTACGGTCAATGATGAGAAATTCTTCAAAAACTTCCTGGATCCGGATCAGCACCAAAATCTGATCGATTGGTTGTTGGCCCAAGACCAACCCGTGCCAAAAAATTTCATCAAAATCCGTACGTAACTTTTTGAGATATCCTGTTGACAAACAAACCAACAAACTAACAGGGGTGAAAACATAACCTCCTTGGCAGAGGTAATAAGGCCTGATGGCAGTAGCCAATAGTCAATTAAATGGGCTACCCCTAAATCCGTACCCCTATCCGAATTACTTTTTCAAATTGTAGGTAGTAGGGATATAGGACGTCACATCGATAATTTATATATATATATATATATATTGCGATCCAAACCTGGATGATACATGACAGCAGTTGTTTACTAAGCGCTCCACGATAATGATTTGTAAGCATTCACATTATTGGTAGTGTACCGGTTAAGCGTATAGGTTGCTAGGTAATTTTTCTTGGAGGTATCGCAATACCTGTTGCACTGTGAAAGTTGTATCATGATACGTATCGTATTGTGGGTTACCTGGATCATCCCACCTCTAGTATTTGGCGTGTGAAATTTATTTTTGCAGGGTATGAGAAGGTTGAGCATGAGGATGTTGAAGACATGATCTGGGCTGAAGAGCCACAGTTGGAGTTTGATGACTCTGAGTTGCAGCAGTCCGCCAAAGAAGGTACGAGTGTGATGTTTGCTGTACCGTTCGCACTCGGAATGTATTTACATTTGTAAAACCACACAGTTCTAACTCGGGCATGTGAAAGAACTATTAATTACCTTAATTATTACTGCATACCTTAATTATATTATCAAGGTAAAGGGCAGAAGTTGGCTAATGTGTTCTTTGGAAGCTTGAGTTTAAAAATTAGTTACAAAAGTGTCTTTGTCTTATGAGAAAAATTGATGAGGTAGAGTAGTTACGGTGAACAAGAAATTTTTATGGATGCCTCTAGTTAATGATTATAGTTGTGAAGTCTTGGTAAGATGCTTTTGGGCATGTTGTATATAGTAATGGCTGCAATCACATTACTGTTACGAGTGTTGCAGACAGTATGTTGAATTTTTCTGGGGCTGTGTTTTAGAACTGAAGGAGCTGGTGGACGAGATCAACATGGCTGGGGAGGCGAGTGTGCAAGCGGAGGAGAGCTACTTTGAGCCAAACTTCGAAAAAGAGCTAGGAACCCCAGACGAAAGCCTACCACAGAGTGACGACTTCATGGAAGTGGCGGAACATGGGATTGTAGAGTTTGCAGGTAGATGGGAGAGTTTCTGATGGCAGTCTAGCTTCGTGATGTTTTATATTTAGAGAGAGAGAGAGAGAGAGAGAGAGAGAGAGAGAGAGAGAGAGAGAAAGAGAAAGACAGAAAGAGAGGGAGAGGGTGTGTGTGAGAGGGAGAGAGATAGAGAGAGAGAGAGAGAAAGATGGAAAGAGAGAGTGAGAGTGCAAGAGAAAGTATTTCCTAAATCTGATTACATTTTTTACATGTTGCAACAGGTGACGACGTATATGGCAGGAAAGTGATTGTGATCTCAGCGTGTAAACTACCTTCTAACAAGTCTTTCAATCACGACAGATTTCTCAGGTAAAACTGTGAATAAATCTGCTAATTTAGAAAACTGTGACTGACTGAAAACTGACTGTAAGTGTAAGTAATTGTATTTAATTATAAGATAATAATGCAGATTCCATTTCAAATGTGTGATTGCAAATTGTTAAAAATCCACACATGCTAAAGTTCACCATTGTTTAATATTTTTCGCTATGCAAGCAAATTAAGAAAGTGTTTCCGGGAAGGTGACCTTGCAGTGTGCGTTCACCAGCAATAGAGCAAAGTGATCATTACATAGAGGTAATTAATGCTTGACTTTGTTGCTGCTAACGATTGATGCAGATATCTGATGTACACTTTGGACAAGTACGTAGAGAATGACTACAGCCTGGTATACTTTCACTATGGCCTTAGAAGTCATAACAAGCCCTCGCTGGCCTGGCTTTGGGAGGCATACAAGATGTTTGACAGGAAGTATGTCATGAAAATTGCTTTGTTACATTTCCAATTTTATGGACTTTTTTTATTATTTGTTATATGTACATTTATAATTGGCTTTTGATAATGATAACACATTCTACTAAGAATGAAGTGATACAAACAATGAACCCCTTAAATGCTTATTTATCAATTGTAGTTTAACTGACCAATTAACCAAGTGGAAATGTGTTTTCTCTTTTTTCAGGTATAAGAAGAATCTGAAAGCCTTATATTTAGTCCATCCATCAAATTTTATCCGCATTCTGTGGAACATGTTTAAGCCAGTACTGAGGTTAGTATTTTGCATGATCTTTCGTGGTATGAATTTCACAATTAAATACATATAATATAATGTACATGTATGATCGAGAGTTTAAAACTGCTAATTTCTTAAAAAAAATAAAAAAAATAAATTCAGTCTGATTTGTCAGCGTATATATTAACGATTACTTCAGCCTTAAAAATTATTACGAGCTTGTGGTGTTATAGGCTATAAAACAGTAAGTGCATAGCAAACGTGTGCCTGTTGAAAGTCTTGAGTGTGTCTTGAGATTCGTAAGAATGGAATTTTCGAAGGCTTTCACAAAACGAGTACACGTAGTTACATGACGCAAATTTTTATAAACTGGTACCTATCTCGAAATGTAGATAATGTTAACATACTGTAGAGATAGCATACCAGGCGGTGGCATCTCTCGTGACTGAGCAAAAATCACTCACAAGTTTTGTTGACATGTTAACAAATCTAATTTGAAATGCAGAAATGTTGTTGATAATTATTAACGAGGTTCTTCTCATTTTCAGTGCAAAGTTTGGCAAGAAGGTGATGTATGTGAACTACCTGAATGAACTGAAGTCACATCTGCATTTTGACCAGCTAAAGATACCTAAACCTGTGCTCGAGTAAGAGTCTTGCAATGGTGCCCAATGTGTCTAGATCATAATTTTGTTGTGGTTGTAGTTATTCTTTTTTATTGGTGTGCTATGTTGTTTAATCCTGCATATAAAGTGTTGATTACAGATCGTATAAAAATGAGTTTTTTTTTAGATTAAACATGACATCGTAATCCGAAACAAAAGACAGTTGTCGAATAGTACCAGAATTCTTTACCCGTATTATTCACTGTTAAACATGTCATAAGAGATTACCTGAAAAGATATTGCCTCAGTTCCTGCTCTAATTTTGTGTTCTGTAGCCACGATGCACGTATGATGGAGAGATACAAGAGAACATCTCAGCCCCAATCTGGTGCATTCTACACTGACCGCATCCTGAGCACACAGCAGTTTGGAGTGCCAGTTCAAACGTGAATATGAATCGGAATTGATAACTTTTTAGATTCTAGTAATGTCTAAATGTAGTAGCTGTATTGTAAATGAAAGTAAAATAAAGTAAGTGAAGTGGAAATTTGTGTGTGCCATCAAGTAGCAGTATTTATTTAACAATCTATGTGACCTTTACTCTCCCATTGAATCTTTTGCTTCTCATACAGCTAGCCTGAAAAGGTGTCAACTGACACTTTTGAACATAACTTTACATTGTATGATAGTAACTATTATTGTTACTAACTACTAAGAATACTTGCACATCAAATGTGCAGTTTGATCTGCAAGAGTTGCGCATTAATTCTCATATTTAAAGCAGTTACTTTTACATCTGCTTGCAGATTACAGGAAAGAAATGGTGGGGATCCCATACCACCAGTTCTCAAAAAAATCACAAGCTATCTTGAGCAGGAGGGTAAGATGTCACATATTATACATATGCTGTGCACACCTATAACAGAAATTAACTAAAATTCTTTATTTCCTTGTCTGTTAATGCAAGATTTGTGCTTGTATGGGAAATTTTAATAGGAATATCACGAAATCTATGACTAATCTCCTACTATACACTTACAATATTTGTGTGGCAGGTCTCGGAACTGAGGGCATATTCAGGAGATCTGCAGTGGCTAGTACAATACGCAAAACACAGGAAAAAATTGACGAAGGTAGGGAGGCTGTATAGCTAGTAAATCTTGGCCAAATAGTAAACGTTCGATAAGCTGACATTTAATGCAAATAAAAACATTTATTTAAAAAACATCTTATAAACTGACGGGTAACAGTGCTGGAATAATAGTGCTCGAAAATGCTGCAATTACGTTTTAACATAGGGTGAAAGTAATTCTGGCTCAGAATATAATAATATATATTTATAGTGAGAACTTGGCAACAACTCAATTATGCATGTGTATTTTCGATGTTACAGTGTGACTTCAACCTCAGATCATGCCACGTTTGCTTAAAAAACAATGCTTACATTATCTACTGCATATTGAATATAAGCGGGATCATCTCCAGCATTAATGCCTTCGAGTTATAGAGCCACTGTATGCTGGTGTCTAAAATCGCCCCAGATTTTTGATATCGTGTGGTGATATTGGCAGGTCAGGATGTAGATTTCAACGTGATAGGGGACATTAATCTGGCTGCAGTCTTACTAAAGAAATTCCTGAGAGAACTACCAGAGCCACTAATGACGTTTGAATTGTACGAGGATGTCATTACTGTAGAAGGTGAGTGTAAATATTTCTGTTTCTTGCATAGTGCAGCGTGATACCACCATGTTAGTTTATACTATCTGCTCGAAGCCCCAACTGGATGCAAGCTACCCTTTGCCCTTTGAACAGTAAGTTACCTGGTACTTTAACCTAGTACCTTACCCTGGTAACAAGGTACCTGTGAACTTTGTCTTTCTTTGAACATCGACTGTAATGTTTGCTGCTTTCCAAGAGCAGTGACTGATCCACACACAAATGTTTATTTTGATCTGCGAGCGTATAACTAAAAAATGAGGCATTTCTAAAGCTGTATGTGTCGGTGAATAGAGCACCCCTGCGTAGTCACTCAATTGAGAATGGAATAGCCAAAAACAACAACTTTATTGTGCTGCAGATTTGAACAAGGAAGAGCTGAAGGTAGCATACGTGCGCGAACTGGTCAACAAATTGCCAATGGTTAACTACCAGCTGCTCAGATTCATCTGTGAATTTCTTGACAAGGTATGCGCACTAACCTTCTTATTATAGATCGTGGGTACTCCAACAATACTAATATTCCAGATTTAAACACGTTTAGTTAAATGTGTCATTTATTCTTTAATAATTCACATTTAAAAAATGCAGATGACTGCATGACGTGTGGTAACACTGTGTGTATTATTATTATTATTATTATTATTATTATTGTATTATTATAGTGGTTTATTTTGGTTAGTATTATGGTATTATTATTATTATCATAGTATTATTATAGTGGTTTATTTTGGTTAGTATTATGGTATTATTATTATTATTATTATTATTGTATTATTATAGTGGTTTATTTTGGTTTCACAGGTGATACAGCGCAGTGAGGATAACAAGATGACGGCAGCAAATCTCGCAATAGTTTTTGGTCCTAATTTGATCTGGTCTCAGTCGCAAGCATCCCTATCTGCAATGGCGCCCATCAATGCGTTGACACGAATACTGTTTGAGAACTTCACCGAGATTTTCAGCAGGTAGTGCCGGCTACGCGACGACGATTTATGATCGTTACGCTCGAATAGTTTTAATGCCTCTTGTTAATAAGTGAAAACTGTCGATGCTGATCTCCGGACGAGGAAGATTAAGGGTGAAGTCAGGTGATTGGATTGACTAGCTGTTGATTGTGTATTTATGTGAACATAGGCAATCGATAGAGCCAGGCTGTGCCTGAAAGTTCTACTGCGACGTCAGCTGCCCTGACTGTTCTAACCTGCAGTGTTTATACATGCAAATTTGCATTACGCTACTGTTTACTAACCTAATTTCCTTTGCACTGGTGTCGGGCAACTTTATCGATGATGCAGTGGGATTTTTGTTGCCACTTGCCAGTACTTTTACCTATACGTGGAAATGCAGGTGAAGTCTAAAATGTCGCTATTTACTTACGTGTCATTGCCATTTTCATCATCAAGAAATGGAAAAAAGGAAAAGGAAAGCGCAGGACGTTTTTTATTGATCGCACATTCAATTCGGTTGTGTCATAAAAACATGACTTACAATGATTGCCCAGATTTCGATATAATCAAGAATTTTGGTCATGATAGTTATAATAGTGAAGACTGGCATCAATAGCATCTACGTGCACTTTTTTATGAAATGAAGTACAAAGACAAATTTCCTCTTTTCGCATACATTCATAAAAACACCATCACCAAATCTAACATTCCTAGTCTCATCAATATGTGTTATCCCCGTCACATTTTATATTACGATTTTGCTAAGGTCCAACTTTGTCCATCATATTTTGTTGATTTCATTAATTTTTGAATTCAGTTATTTTTGTTTTATAGAGGGCGACTAGTAACGTCAGTAGTAAGATATAGTAAATATGTATATATCAATTGCATGAAAGCATTGTTAACAAGAAAGTAGTTAGTAAGTTTGACTGTATAAATATTTACGACAGGGATCCTGTTCATAGTTTATAAAACTATGCAGCAAAAAGTGCTGACATAATTTCTATCACCTTGGTCAAGATGAGGACTTGCTTCTCCAAACTCGGAATTACATGTGCATACACATTCCTAGTACATTCCTTATTCGTTTGATACAATAATGAAATTGTCACAAAACCTATGCCAAGCTGTAACTTTGTTGTAACTAACTGCGATGAAACATTACGTTTTTAAGGCAGGCATTTCTGGTGTATAGGTTGGTAAGAATGCCGGTTTCCTTCCTTGAATTGCTGCACGCCTCGTATATTCATGTAAATGTGCACGTGTAAGTTAAATAATTAGCCATTATAAAAAGATTATTAAGGAGAAGGCCAGTTGGATTATCTGAGAATGAAATCGACAAAGCTGTGGGTTAGTAAATAACGACAATATCAAAATAAAGATCAGGCGCTGACCACTGTGTATATTTAATTGTACTGATTTTCGACTGTGAAATGAACGTGGGCAAGTTTTTGCTTAGCAGAATTTGTTTTTACCCAGGTCAATTACCACCTTATTTAGATATATGCTTAGCTAATCACCTGACGTTTTCCTATGTATCTATCAACAGTTTAATTATACGAATATGAAACTGTATCAACATTTCCTGACTGATTGAAGTGTCTGTCCAGTACGTGTGCAGTTGGTACTATTAGCTATTCTTCATTGATATGTGGCAATAATTAAGTGTATGTATAGCTGAAAACTCGACACACGTAAGTCTTTGAAGGTATTTAGATGAAATTAAGCACTGGATAATATAATATATAACCTAGCAGGTTGTATAAATTGTGAACATATTTATTCTAAATTGTGAACATATTTATTCTAAATTTTTATTCTAATTTTATGTTCTGCATTGATGGTGCTTGTACTTTTGAGTGGGAATCAGCAGAAATAATTGTCTGCAAAAGACGAGGTGTTTTGCATCAAATATATTTTAGTATGGTAAAATAAATAAAAAAGCATTTACTAGATTACTGTCAAAATTATTAAAGTAACATTCCAGAAACAATATGCAACACATATAGAAATTAAACCTGTATAGTTATCAATCTTGGTTATAAAGAGGTTTAGGGTAGGGAGGTTGTAGGGGCCAATAGGGGTCCGCTTGTCTGTTTGCTTCTAACTACAGCATAACTATACAACATATAGAATGTTGTCAATTATAGTCTCTCCAGTGTCAACCTTAGCGGTATATATATAAAGTTTAAAAATGAAGACGTGAATTATTTTCGAGTGTACTGAAAGCCTTGCGAAATTATTATTATTATATATTTTTAAAGGCAAGTAACTTTGCTCGATTTTGCAAACGTTTTTGAAGTGGCATATATATGATCCAGTGTCAGTCTGTATCAGCCGATTATCAAATTTTCCACCTCCATATGAAATGTGACTAAAATTTCCTTGCGGGCAAATTGGCATTACGCAGTCACAAAGTACCGACTGGCAATCATGCGAAATTTATTCGAAACTCACATAATGATAAAGACCATAATATGTAATATCCAGAATAAAGCAAGCGATATTTCTTGTATAAGTGTAAATAAGAATTTTAGGGTTCAATAAATGGTCGAGAACCAAGCCGAAAGGCTTTGTATGCACTGAACTGGCAGCAATGTGTGTTGTGTGCGTGTGCGTGTGCGTGTGCGTGTGCGTGCGCGTGTGCGTGCGCGTGTGCGTGCGCGTGCAAGTGCGTGTGTGCGGGTTTGAACGCGCGCGGGTGTAGACAACTAACACAATTACTAGTTATTTGTTTTATAATGACAAGTACTATTATAGCAATTGTGTAAATTATGCTGTTGTGTTTCTCTTTTTCACATTGATTTTATAACGATAGTTTTTCGCTAGAACGTCGAGACCAGAACGCTAAAACGCTAGAACCATCTTTTTCGCTGGAAACCATTTGACGATGCGCACTTTGGAAAATGGCCATTATTTTGTCCATAATAATAAATAATAATATAAGGATAATATAATATATTATATATATCATATAAGGAGAACGAAATGCCCCTAAAACGCAATGTATTCGTAAAAATACCTACTTTTCAACCAGTTGTAAAAACAAAACGAGTAATGATATCCGAGGTTGGGCAAGAGTCAGTGTTTAGTTTTTCTTATTTTTATAAAACGAAAACATAATACACACATACGATCTGAACAAAACACGAATTGGAAGTTTGGGTGTTTGCGTAGCGTGTTGTGTTGCTAGTCAGTAGTCCGGGGTTCAAATCTTGTCAATTAACATAGTAAAATATTTTCTAACTGCTGTTAAGCTAAATATAACACATACATCTGAGCTGATCATTTAAGGAATGGTATGTTTGGGTCCGTCTGTAGCGTAACGGGCTTGTATTCAATAATCCTGGGTTCAAATCCAGGCAATTACCAAAGTCCAATATTTTCAGATTCATTGGAAGAAATGTAAACATACATTGACCTTGCACTTGGCAAGGATCCTCACCTAGCTGATAATGTAAATATTTTGAAAGTGGTGAAGGCCATGGCCTTGAGCTCAAGGCTATGGCCTTGGCCTATTAATGTAAAACTTTTAAAACTTAAAAAAGTGGGTCAAGGCCATGGCCTTGAGCTCAAGGCCATGACCTTGTGAAAAACGTTTAAAAATGAAAAAGTAGGTCAAGGCCATTACCTTGAGCTCAAGTCCATGGCATTGGACGAGGTCTTGGTCAAGGTCAGTGGTAATGTCAACACCGCCATACAACAACAACAACTCAAATTACCAATGATCTACTGCAAACTTAACAGTATATGTTACAATTTCTTTGATGATTTTTCAGAAAAGTATTGTTGATAGCCTTTGAATAATTAACACCATATATAAAGAGGAATCTCGGACGTTTTATTTGGAGTATATTTATTTGAAAGCTTTCAATCGTGAACGCACATGCATGGGATTACAATCAGGTTGCTACTTGCTCTAGTTATAGAGCTAGTTGTTCTAGTTCCAGAGCTAGATGTTCTAGTTCTAGTGCTACTTGTTCTAGTTCCAGAGCTACTTGTTATAGTACTATAGCTAGTTGTTCTAGTTCTAGTGCTACTTGTTCTAGTTCCAGTTCTAGTTCTAGTGCTACTTGTTCTAGTTCCAGAGCTACTTGTTATAGTACTATAGCTAGTTGTTCTAGTTCTAGTGCTACTTGTTCTAGTTCTAGAGCTAGTTGTTCTAGTTCTGCTGCTACTTGTTCTAGTTCCAGAGCTACTTGTTCTAGTTCCAGAGCTACTTGTTCTAGTTCCATAGCTATAGTTGTTCTAGTTCTAGTGCTAGTTGTTCTAGTTGAATGAGCATGAAATGAGAATTTCTGACAACGGGCCGCAGTCGTACACATAAAACGCGAGACCACGTGCTCATATACATATGGGATTGAACTTACAATAAACGATTAGTATAAAATAAAACAAATTTGTCTAAAAACACGTGGAATATCAGTATAAAACACTGTAACCGTCAGTTACGTTGGTTTGTCTCGGAAGTTCCCCGACGCGAATCGGTGTGGATCATGCTCCCTCTGCCTCCTCCGCTCCTGCTTCTCCTCTTCTGCGGCATTCCTCTACCAGGGCGTAAGAGAGGTCCTCACACTACATCAAGGCAAAGATTTTTCATATCATTAACTATGAGGAAACATATGACATCAATTGATTAAGTACTTGATAAATTGATGTATTAATCAAACATGTAAGCTTAAGAGCAACGTTTACGAAACGTGAAAATTTATTGGATTTATGATTGGCGAAATATGACGTCCCATAAAATAAAAAAGTGCATTTTTACTTAATCAGGCTTGCATAGCTGAGGCATTTCTCGTCTGTCCTTATAACGTCACAGTAACCAGCATAGAAAAATGTGGATAACTAAATTTACCATATTCAAAGTCTTCGTTATTCACAGAATTAAACAAAACTCGATATCTCGATATATATTAATATATAATCAATGATACGT